ATTTAACATCCTGTATAAAGTGTGGATATCTCTAGTATTTAACATCCTGTACTAAGTGTGGATATCTCTAGTATTTCACATCCTATACTAAGTGTGGATTTCTCTTGTATTTAACATCCTATACTAAGCGTGGATGTCTCTAGTATTTAACATTCTGTACTAAGTGTGGATATCTCTAGTATTTAACATCCTATGCTAAGTGTGGATATCTCTAGTATTTAACATCCTGTAGTAAGTGTGAATATCTCTAGTATTTAAGATCCTGTAGTAAGTGTGGATATCTCTAGTATTTAACATCCTATACTAAGTGAGGATATCTCTAGTATTTAACATCCTGAGCTAAGTGTGGATATATCTAGTATTAAACATCCTGTACTTAGTGTGGATATCTCTAGTATTTAACATCCTGTACTAAGTGTGGATATCTCTAGTATTTAACATCCTGTACTAAGTGTGAATATCTCTAGTATTTAACATCCTGTACTAAGTGAGGATATCTCTAGTATTTAACTTCCTATACTTAGTGTGGATATCTCTAGTATTTAACATCCTGTACTAAGTGTGAATATCTCTAGTATTTAACATCCTATACTAAGTGAGGATATCTCTAGTATTTAACTTCCTATACTAAGTGTGGATATCTCTAGTATTTAACATTCTGTACTAAGTGTACATTTATCGGAATATGTAGAGCAGGCGCGGATCCAGGAATTTTTTCCAGGGGGGGGGGGGGGGGTTCCGCCACAGTCAAAAAAAAAATTCCAACCCAGGAATTTCTTGACAAGCAACAAAAAAAAACTTTTGAGTGAGAAACATGATTACATGTGACAAGTACTTTGATTTTTTTACCCTGTGACCTTGATCTTGAAGTTTGACCTACTTTTCAAAAACTTTAACATTGGTCAAAACCTTTGAATGAGACAAAATTAGGGTGTCGTAGTGCATTATCTGTAACAAGGCCCTTCCCAGTGTACTATGATTTTTTGCCTTATAACTTTGAACTTGAAGTTTTAATCTTTCAAAAATGTTAACATTGATAACTTTTGAATGAGAGAAACTATTGGTCTAATATTTTATATATACAACACCTATGACAATAGCCTTCAGAACGTACTACCTTTTTTTGACCGCCTGACCTTGAAATTTGACCTACTTAAAAAAATTAATTAACTTTGGCTGTAACTATTGCACCTAAAGAGATGGTGCTTTCATATTCCTTCACATGTGCATTACTTATGACAGAACCTTTAGAAATGTACATGTATGGTGATATTTGACTTCATTATCGGTTTTCAGAATTTTTAATCTTGGCCATAACTTTTATCAATTCAATTTTTTGTATGATAGAGAGACAAAACAAGACAGACAGTTATGCCATAATTAACTGCATCCCAACCAATAAGATGCAAGAAGTAGGTGACCAGAATTCTCTGAATTTGCTTGTTTGCAAATACGATTCTTGGGTCGTGTTTTGATAGAGTAAGACACATTTCATGCCTATTGTTAGGACACTGTTTTTATACTTATTTTGACTATGGATTATTCTGTTTACCTGATCAGTATATAGAGGGCTCACAGTGGGTGTGACAAGGGAAAACAGAGGATGCTTTTTTCCACCTCGGCACCTGATCCCACCTCTGGTCCATGCTTTTGCCCTATTCATGTATTGTAATGGTAGAGGATTTATGACATTGCTCACAGTTTGTTATCTTCGCCTTTTTTCATGAAGCTTGTTTCTCCAATGCTCAATTATCAGTAAAGGAGATTAAAGATAAAATGCATTTAAAATGCATGTTAACTTTACACAATAGTCATGTAACTTAGCCCCACACTGGAGCCAAAGTCCTGGGTACAAAAAAATATTGGTAGAGGGCTTATAGCTTACTGCAATCATGCATAGTCTGCTAACAAAAATGTAACCATTCAAAGGAACAATGGGCCATATTTAAAAATTGTGTTTGCCCTGTCCCGACTGGCTAGAAATGGCCCTACTCAAAACAGTATAAGCCCCCAGGAGATGATTATTTTTATTTATCCATTCAGGAATTTTTTTCATCCTAGCAACAACTGTATATTGTAATTTTATCAATACCTTCAATTTCAATAAAGTTTGAAAATTCACTACTGATGTAAAAAATTTCTAGAAAAAAAAATTCGAATCTACCTCAATTTTTAGGTCACCTGAGTCACTCAAGTGACCTTTTGCTATCTGTTTTTGTCCATCGTGCGACATGCGTCGGTCGTAAATTTTTGAACATTTTCACTTTTTCAGCTTCTCTTGAACCACGAAACCAATTTCAACCAATTTGCACATAGCATCAATGGGTGAATGGGGAACAAAAATTGTGAATTTCATGGTCCCTGTCCCCCCTGGGGCCTGAGGGGTGGGGGTAAACCCATCAAAATTAGTGCTATATTTAAAAATCTCCTTCTTTACTACTCTGGACCACAAGCAGTCAAACCCTTGGCATGATTGTAATAAGCATTGAGCCCTTTACCTAAATTGTGAAATTCATGGTTCCAGGGTCAGGGGTTCTGGAGTTAGGGTGGGGTTCTAATGATCATAAAGTGAAAATGCACAAATTCTTTAATAATCTTCTTCTCTCCCTTGTATACTTAGCCGATTAACTAAATGCAAGGATGCCTCTTCAAAATTGGGAAATTTGTGGCCCCAGTGTCAGGGGTTCTGGCGTTTGTGGGAGGGGGAGATTATTTAGTGAAATTGCATTATTCTTTGAAAATCTTCTTCTCTGATCCTCGGTATTAAGCAAACAAACTAGATATATATAGTTATGATGAGCAAGGGTGCCTCTTCCAAAATTGTAAATTTCATGGCCCCTGGATCAGGGTCCTGGTGTTAGGGAGGGGCTCTATTTTTTTCTAATGATTACAAAGTAAAAATGCATTTTAAATTCTTTGAAAATCCTCTCTGTAAATATTAGATAAATAGAGACAAAAATACCTTATCTTTATACATCAAATGTTCTTTAAAAAACAGAGGCTGGTGAGGGAGGGAATGAGATTAGATTTCCAAGTGCTCAAGCACAATGGATTTGTTTAGTCTGAATGGTGATAGTGACAAATGGGGGCAAGTACAGTTTAGTGGAGTATATAGGAATCACCTTGTCCATCTGTCTGTGCAATCTTATAACTAATTAATGGAGAATCATTGGAAGCTCATACGAGTGCGGGACGGTTCGCCCCAAAAGACCATTCGCGCTGAGACGTTTCGCCCCTAGACGGTTCGCGCCAAAGATCTAATTAGTTTTGAGGTAATTATCACTTGTTAATGGCAATTATTAACTTCTTAATAACTTTTATACTGTGTTATATTAATTCAATCCATTGGTTCAATCAATATACTAAAGACGTGACACTCTGAAGACCTGATTGAGATAATTTTGTCTGTATGGGGAAATATTAATAGATGATGCATACCAAAATACACTTGTAGAGAATAAAAACTGAGAATCTAACTCTATATCAAGCTATATACCCCCCCCCCCCCCTTTCCTCGCCCATGACCACACTAAAATAAAAAAAAAAAGAAATTGTCAGACCTATTTTTTTTAAATTGAATTCCTGTTACTTAAAAAAAAAGATATTTCTAAATGACCTGATATTTTTATATGATGTGAGAAAACAGCAACTCGTGATTATTTTAATGACATGATGATTTAAAAAACTGATCTATTTTGATATAACAGACATAGAAATAAATTAAGGCATGTCACTTGTGAAATAAGTTTTATCGAAAGATTTTTTTGAGAAGTATAGTTTTGATAAGTAATTATATAGCATTGCTCAAAATCACAAAGAAAATTGGAGTCAGTGTGCATCCTATTGAGCAACGGTAAAATAAACTTGATAATTAACACCCATCTCATAATTTAATTCTCCTCTTTATCTTGACATGGAGAGTCTCCAAATTATAGTTATTACACCTTAATTACAAAACTGAATCAGAGAACTATGATTGCTGAATAAACATAATTATATCTGCACATGGATAATTATATATTCAATTATGGTATAAGCCTATTTTCAACAATTTAAACATGAAAGTTTTTTTTAGTAACTTTAAAACATTTTTTTAAATAAAGTCAATATTAACCTTATATATAAATATTTATCTTAATATATCGTTTTATAAATTGTAGATTAAATTTGGCGCGAAACATCTCGGCACGAAAGGTCTCTGGGGCGAATGGTCTCGGCGCGAACAATCAATAGGGGCGAAACGTCCCGTTACCGCTCATACTTGGTACAAAAATTGTTTATGACCCCACAGTATGTCATGACCTTGATGCAAGGTCATTTTGGCAAGTTCAATGTCAATGACAGGAAAAGTATAGTATTCTTGTCTGGGCTCTGTGACTGAGAATCATTGGAAGTTCATACTTGGTACAAAGATTGTTTGTAACCTGACTGTGTCATAACCTTGTCCCATGTTCATTGTGGCAAATTCAAGGTCACTGGTATGAAAAGTGTAAAATTCATGACAGGTTTATATTTTCTAATGGAGAAAAACTGGGTGTCCATATTTTTACTAAAACTTTACTTATGACCAGAGGATGTGTCTTTTTTTTAACAAATTTCTTTTTGGCAAGTTTAAGGTCACATTTACAAAATTTGAATGGGCACATTAGAAAACTTATGGCGGGGGTATTATCTTGCTCCAGTTTTATACTTATATGGATCCTTTACAATGGTGTATTATACTCAGGTGATCCTAAAGGCCCGTGGGCCTCTTGTTTTTTTGTCCTGAGTAGAGAGAGGACAAATATTATTAAATATTTTGAAGATGGCCCTGTATAATAAATTTTTAATACATGACCAACTTGGCCCCAAATTTCACAAAGGTTAAGGATCAGCTGTTCATTATAATCATACCAATGGTTTGCCTGCTACATGTCCATGAGTAAAGATTTTCAAATATCAATGTACATGCATTTTCAATACACTGTATACTTAAGTAGCATACTAGTTAAGTTAAGGAGTATAAAAAATGTATTTATTTAACATGTAACATTTAACAATATTTCACACAAAAATAAATTAAAAGTCTTGTATGAATTAAATATGACATTCATTTATAGCATATCACATGTATAATATCTCATTGCTACTATTATAGTTTGAAGATCCTGAGAAATGTCATAACATACAATCATGTATCTGCCTGATTAACCACCCAGGGGACTTAAAAATTGGAAAAAAGGAGGAATTAGATCCAATTCATTTTGGGCTATTAAAAATGATTAACATCAAAAAGTCTTTAGATGGAGTGCTTATGTTTTTTTTTAATTGAAACTGGCACCAACAGGCAAATACAGTACTATTATATAATCTCTTTATAACTACCACCTACCATTCAACGAAAGAATATTATATCACAATAATTCATGTTATGTTTTTGATACGACAACATTATTCATCATTTTATTCAACTTTTCATAAATAAGATATGAAACGTAGGCATCTGTGGCAGCATATCTTTGCTGTAAATCTGATAGAGGAAACTCTGACCAGTCACTTTTGCGTAGCGAAGGATTTTTGTTGATTTTTTCTCCAAACAAATGCCTAACAAGTCCATCTAAACTCCATGTTTCTCTAGTCTTAAGTGCCTGATTGGCATAATCACTCAAATCAACCACACTAGACTTCAGTACAGGTCCAACAGAAATACCAAAATCTCGTTCTAGTTTCCACAAATCTGATTGAATTCCCACTCCAACCTTAAAAACCTTTGGACTTAAAAGAAGTTGTCGAAGTCCAAAGGGAAGCCCTCCAATACACGACAAGTGGAAAACATAACACACATCAGCTGCAGTACACAACTGTAACACAGCAGTCTTTGCTTGTCTTCCTGGGCGATATGTCACAGGCCATTCCATATCAAACCCGATAAAGGCCCCTACCTTATCACAGAGAGCCATTTCTATCTCCTCACACAGAAGATTGCAGTCAGATTTATGGTGGGAGTAAACTAATGACCCACTAAAGGACATTTCTTTCATTGAATCACTCAGAATTTGACTAAAGGTTTCTCCTGCCTCCAATATACGAGTTTCTCTACACTTTTTGGGGGATGACTCGACATTTTCTTCCTTAAATTTTTCTGATTCACAAAGTTTCATCCAAGAAGGTAAAATTCTTTTCTTTGAAGCCATAATGTCATGGAATCTGCAATAAAATAAAAGCTTCATTTCTGAATAATTATACTAGTATTAAGATTAGTAGCAAGTAAACATGAGTAAAGGGCTCTATTTACATAACACATGGGAAAAGAAATTAGTACTTTCTAAAACATCACTAATTTTGTAAAATATCAACCATGGTCATGATTTAGTGTGCAACGATAACCGTTTGAAAGTATTTTGTGGTACATTTTTCCACGGTTCAATTCACAATACATTAAACTGATATCCTAGTTTGGTTAAACTGGTCCAGAATTATCTGAATCATCCATCTGGGTTCCTTGTTTACAATTTCAAAATGTCTTCTGCACAAAACATGAGGTTGACGATAATGCAATTAAACTTATCTCCAGCATCTAACAAGTCAAAGATTTAGCAGTTATTTCTTTCCTAATGTGATTAAATGTTATACATGTTAAGACAAGTGTTAAACCCTTTTAGATCTAAAAGTCTTCTTTGGTAATAGTGACCCGCTGTGTCATAAGAAATAATCGGGTTAAGGGTCACAAAATCGGGTGCAACCCGACGAAATCAGGTGAGTTGGCAACTATGGGTAACATGCATTTCATCAGGTGTGTATGCTGATGACTATACACTTGTCTTGTTCACTAGAAAGTGTTTGTGTTAAAAGAAATATTACTACTGATTTCAAACATATATAAATGAAATAACATCATGACTGTCTTTTTCTTTCATTCAAATTAAACAGGGAAGAAATATTAAGAAAGGCCCCCCCCCCATTCTAAATAAGACAAATCTATGCTCTGAATCCACAAGATCCAGGCTACTGCTGTTTCTAGTGAATGTTCTTTCTTAGTTTAGAGAATAATGTCACAAGTCAAAAATCTACCTTCAATCCAGAGCAAGTTGACATAATATTTTTATTTTCCAAAAAAAAAAAAACAAAAAACAAAAAAAAAAAAACATGAACATTTGATATAACGTTTAAAAAAAATTATAATAACAAACCTGAAAGACTTGTTTACCTATATTTATAATAAATGTAATGTATCGTGACATGCATCTTATTGTGAACTGAATATCATGATGCATATTGTATCATTAGGTTGGTGTATCGATGCACCCCTATTAAGTCATAATGGTGGGTGCAAAAAGAACACTGGTAAGCTTATCTGAATCTCCATCCTCACAACATCAGGAGTCCTGAGTCAACATGTTGCTGGTCAATCCCTGAGAAAGATCATTCGTTTTGTTTTTTTTTTCAGACTTGCTTTTCTCATTGAGCAGCACCATCAAATTGAAGCTTTCAAAATTTAGAGAGATTAATGGAAATGAATCAGTTGACACCTCAAATGCAGTGTTACAAGTTGTTTATCACCAAAAGGCTTCATGTGATTGGTTCAGAGATAAGAAAAACAATCCAGATTTGCAATTTTCCGGAAAGACGTCTCTGCAGTCAGCCGTAAAATATCGAATGAACTTTGTTTGGGCCTATGGGTCCAACGGCAACGTGTTGACTAAGAACCTCTGACGTTGTGAGCAGGTGAGGATGTTGTATGTGGTGAGGATGCGGTATCTCGTATGTTCTCTTTTCCATATCAATACTTCATAATAAAAAAAAACTCTTCACACTTTTACCATCATACCGTTAACACTAACAGGGCTTGTTTTTCATCACTTTATCATTTCAAACTCATCTCATCAGACTCATGATCGTCTCATGTTTGTTTTCATCATGTTACAGAATCCCGAGCCCGATATTTTTTAAAAACCGAGCTCGATGTAAAATATTTGAAAAATGCAAGTTTTATAAAACTAAATATGAGGCTTCACCTTATTTTTATCTTTCTTTCTTGAATGATTGATTTAATTGATTGATTGATTTGTATCTTAATCATATTGTTACCACTTTGCCGGGAAAGGTGAATAGTTCCAATGACAAGTCTTAATTTTTGAACTGAACCACACTTTTTCCATGTTCTGGGAACAAGGGAGAGAAAATCGAAATAAGAGCCAAAGAACCAATTTATTTGTTGGTATGTACTTTAATTAAAACAAAATATCGGCTAACTCTACAAATGTAGGCGGAGAAGGAGAGGAAAGTCTGACGGACATTTACTTTCTTTAAGAGAAACGTCCTAACATACTTTCAAGAAGTAGTTTAAATCAAATGTGGATTCTCAAAAACCCCAAAAAAACTTTTAGAAAATTTAAAATCATTTTCCCCCCAAAAAATATTGAAATAATATCAAAACGTGTGATTTTCCCACATTTTACATATCTATGGTATAGTCTTTGGAGATCAGGTCTTCTAACAATCTGTTGGAATTGCGCTGGGGACTAACTGTGCTCCTTTATTAGACGGCCTGTTTTTATATTCGTTTGAAGCAGAATTTATTCCAAAATTTCTATACCACATATTCATTACCACATCAAAATAGGATACATGTACGTTAGAGCGACAATGCCTCTCCCGTTAGCCAGCGCTTTTTGCATGTACATGACGATGTACAAGACCTGTTAAATGTCTTATTTTGACGGAATTTGTAACTATCAATGATTTAATCTACATTGCCTCGATTTGTAACAAACTTCTAAATGGAAGCCATGTCGTTCAACTAACCTTTTTCATGATTGTACTTCGACTACAGGTCAGGCCCGTAGCAACGGTTTCAAAAGTGGGGGCCAACTTCCCAAAAAAATCTGACAAGCAAAAAAAAAAAGAAGCTTATTTACTGTCCAAATCTTGGAATTTGCCAGTGTTCGACCTTACAACATCGAAAAGTTTGTGTGTGTGTGTGTGGGGGGGGGGGACATCTAAAGGAAATTTTACTATAGCAAAATACTGTACCCAGAACAAAAGGGGGCGCCCCTCCCCCCTTCCCCGCGTTCTACAGACCTGCAGGTTAACAGATGTGAATAAAACTTACACTTCATCAGGTTGGGGAGAAACGTAAATTCCGCTATAATATTGGTATATCACTATTATAGTGAAATTCCGCTATATTTTCAGCCCTATTGACCCTCGATTTCATCAAATAACATGCTTGCTGTTTAAAGCGCAAGTCATGATGGGTATAAAAATGGACAATAATTGGCACCCTTACATGTTATGAATTTTATTTAATTTTCAGCCGATGCGTTTAATAATGTGAACACACTTTTTAAAACGGAAGTTACATTTTTAACATAGCAACCAGTGATTTCGGTAGTATTCAAGAAAGACTGAATCTCTATTTCTCTCACACATATGCACAAATTAATGCTTGTAATAACTTTCAAGCAGCATTGAAAGAGATTTGTCCAATTTACAGAAGAAAGGATGATTTGTGTCTGCATGGTAACGGGTATGGAGGCCCGTTGTGACAAATGAAAAAAACTCATTACTGATGGAACCGATTTTGTATAGTTCAATTGCAATAAATCGTTATATGAAGCATAAAAGTACTTAATGATTAATTTATTATTCATAATACATTTTCATCCAACAAAAATTTCATTAAATGTAGCTGCACTTTCCAAAAATAAGAGTACGTTTATAATTAGTGATAAAAGACACCACGAAGTATGACAGAACTACTTCATATTTGGATATTGGAGAAAGAGATTGATGGCAAACCAACAACAAACTTTATGATAAACCTGATGACCTCAACTTTTCTATCTTCAACTTCCCTTAGTTATGTAGGAATATACCATTACCTGCATATGGGGTTTATGTCTCACAGCTGATTCAATATACACAGGAGTATGCTCTCCGTACGAACAATTTTAAAACGAAGCAGGCTTCTGACAAATAATGAATTAAGGGTATTCTGAAATCTCGTTTGAAGTCAACACTTCGCAAATTCCATGGTCAAGACTATGACCTTATATGCAAATACAATCTGTCAAGTTGGGTCGAATGTTGACTGACGTCTTTCATGCGAAATTTTCATCTTGAATTGACTATGGATTTTTCCGTTTATACGATCACGACAAACAGCACAAGGCGGGTGTGACCGGTCGACGGGGGGTGGGTGGGTGCTTATCCCTCCATGGCTGCTGATTTCAGAGGTTCGTGTTTGCTCTGCTCAAAATTTATATTGTATCAATGGCCTTTTGAGTTTGATTACTGTTCAATAACTTCATATTTCATTGAAAACACTTGTTAAGATTTTCAAACTACAAAGTTTTTCTCCTTTTATTTCTTGTTGCTGAAATAATCTAATTCTTGTGTAGTTTTAATTAAGATTTCATAGTCTTTTTTCAGTACAGAATGTAGTACAAATTTCAAGCAATTTAGACAATAAATAAATCGTGCAAAATTTATACATGTAAAATGTCACTTCTACAAGTAATCACACGCAAGAAAAAAATTGTCTTTTCCGAATAAGGCTAATCGTTTGACCTTCTGGTTTCATCATCAAGAAAAAAAAAACATTATACTTGGGATTACCTGTAGAAATGACATCTTATATATTTTGTACCATAGGACTGGCGGTAAATTTAGATTTTGCTTTGATGTTGCTGTGGTGTATTTGCCAGAAGAATCACAGTTTTTTTAAGTCACGCCCACCTTTTGGCATCAAGCCATACTGTGACAAGACCTTGACTGATGAATAAATGATGTCAATTTCCAGAGCTGGCTGATGAATAAATTAAGTCAACATTTGTAATTTAAAAAATACTAACATTAGCTTGTCGATGTTCGTTTCTTTAATGTTTCTGTATGTTTTCTCCGCGTATCCTTAATCAGTAAATGATACGTCCTATCTCGAGTTCTCGTCATTCTCTTTCCCGTCTCCAAATACAAATAGCAATATCACATCAGAAGTCACCCCGCGTTTTTTTTTTTAATTCCAATACCATTTCAAACTTTCATTAAAATGTCACAAATCATTTCATTTTTTTTCTGTACGCCGATTGCCATTTAGAGAAAGTTCAATGGCGATGTTTCCCATACCCATCCCCCTTTTTTCAAAAAAAAAAAAAAAAAAAAAAAACCCGATCTAGAATTTTCTGTCAGAGTTCACGGATTAAATATAAAAGCCTACAATCGCTACCCTGTACCTGACAAAAATCATGTTTTCTGCGTCTTCAACATTCCAAGGGAACAATATCTTCACACGTATCAATTCCGAATTTTTTTATCAACAATTCGCAGTAGCAGTGACGCAGCTAACTATGATCCTTGCAGATGGAGACAGCTATTTATACAGACTCCGGACCGTGGCTTGACACCTCGTAGTAGGCGGCGCTAATTATCAACATGCTTTTCTCTCATTGGTCCTCTGGTACAAGTAACTTACACAATAGATATTAATTGGTTAGCAGTAAATACACTCACAGTTTTTATTCACTCGGGGCTCCGCCCCTCGTGAATGAAAAACTGTGAGTGTATTTACTGCTAACCAATTAATATCTATAGTGTAACTATATAACGTTTACTATTTATATAAATCGGTTCCACCAGAATAAAGTATACATGTAACGAGTTTTTTTTTCATTTATCACAACGGGCCTCCATACCCGTTACCATGCAGACACAAATCATCCTTTCTTCTGTAAATTGGACAAATCTCTTTCAATGCTGCTTGAAAGTTATTACAAGCATTAATTTGTGCATATGTGTGAGAGAAATTGAGATTCAGTCTTTCTTGAATACTACCGAAATCACTGGTTGCTATGTTAAAAATGTAACTTCCGTTTTAAAAAGTGTGTTCACATTATTAAACGCATCGGCTGAAAATTAAATAAAATTCATAAGGCCAAAGTTTTTATTTTTTTTGGTTTACGATTTTCTGTCTCAAAAAAATGCATTGGGTGGTCGAAAAATAAAAATAAAAATAATTTTGGATTCAACAATTTCATTATAAAATAACAGCAATGTTTATTTTAATATAAATAATACACGTCAATAGTACTTTTAAGTTTTATTGTCTAGATCACATAACTCTTTTTATTTAATTTTTATTCATTTCTAACTTTAGACTGAATGTCATTTTCATTTACATATAGTTCTGATTTTTGTTTGTCAATCAGTGCTTGGTTCATGATGTTCAACATTTTGTGCTCTTCAGTGATATGTGATGTGTTATAAACCTTGGTATCCCCACAAACTAGAAATAAGGATCCAAATTCAAGTTAAATTTAGATTGAAGAAAAATACAATTGAAGTGTTTAACAATATTAAAAGTAATTG